GTAAGGGGGTGAGGCGGGGGGTTAGCACGGTATGCCCCACGTTACCGAGGTATGGGTAGGAGGCGAGGCGGGGGGTTAGCACGGTATGCCACACGCTACCGAGGTATGGGTGGGGTGGGGCGGTCATATGGTCGGTATAGTAAGGGGGTGAGGCGAGGGGTTAGCACGGTATAGTAAGGGGTGAGGCGGGGGGTTAGTACGGTATGGCCCACGTTACCGAGGTATGGGTAGGAGGTGAGGCGGGGGGTTAGCACGCCAACCTAGCTCGGCAGACTAGCTCAGCCTAGCACGGCCTAGCTCGATACAGGCGGGGGGGAGGTGAAGCGGGGGGGACCCAGAACCGGCTATTTCATACTACTCATGAGATTATATTTTTTGTTCTATAGCAATATATAATGAGTATAGGTAAAGATGTTTATGACTAATACCTTATCCTATAATACATAATATTATATTTTTGCAGGATGTTTCTTTTATAAAACATATTTGTCATAGGTTAGTTGAGAATTTTTTTTTTATAATTGGCTAATAATAACTTTTAGCATGGTTAGTCAATCTCCTCCACGTCGCCGTATTTTTTTCCACGATTCATCCATCACGATATCGTAAAGGGAGGTGGTTTATCGGGACCAATGCATTCATAGTCACATATTTCAAAATATGCCAACGACTGTTTTTTACGTATATCGGTTATCCGACAAGCATAAATGCATTCTGCAGGTATATGTAGTTGGAATAAATTTTATTCGCTCAATTTTTGATTATACGAAATGAAAGAACTCCAGTAAGGCATTAAAAAAAGAGAAAATAAAATACACTCACATAACAAATTTATTATAAAATCAATAACTTTTTTGGCGTATAAAAATAGCTGAGCTTTAAGTCGCTACATGAAATATATATTTTTTTCTTTTGTTAAAAAAAATGTTTAAATCCTTCGAGTGTGGATAAATCGAAAATTGACAGGGTGCGTTTATATAATATCATAATATTATATACTTGTACGTATTTCTCTTTCATATGAAATTTAACAATCGCACAGCTATTCCACCAAAACCTGACGTAGTATATATAGTTTTTTGTCTCCTTTGCTCTGTGGCGATCATTGTAAAACGTGTATTATACGTCATCGTGCCCAAAGAACAAAAAAATGTTTCATCGCAGTTATTCGAATAATATCTGACTTTATAAGTTCGATCTTGACGATCCAGTAAAAAATAGTACAAATACTACAAATACAGAAGTTAGTAATTAGTAGGTAATTTATCTTTTTTTCCTTCTATAAGTTTTTGTAAATTATACTGTACATAAAAACGCTAGTCCGTTTTCCATAACGTATTATTACCATGTGTAACGATCCAGACGACGACGAGCGACGAGTTATTACTTTTCGTTAAAGTGCTTAATATAATAAATAATAATATATATATATTGTGTTTAATGTCATGATGGTTACTGTTTTATATGATATAAACTTACGACTCTGGTGACCACAATCAGCGTCACGTTGGAGCTTTGGTGTCCGTAAAATACGGAATGTTTCGTTATGTTGATGCCTGTTGACGGTGTCCAAAAGCCGACTTTTTTCACTTTCTCCTGATGTAGTTTCAGCAAGTCCAGCTTGATGTCTGATCTCCTCCCCTCGTCAAAGTGCACTTTACCGGTCAGGCCTTCGATGCTTACCTATGTCGTGGCGAAACAAGAAAAATAAAATATGAATTACAAGAACGTTTAAAAACAATAAAACATCGAAAACCCGTCACGTCGTTATACCGTTTACTATACCCAGGTATGTCATAGTCGAATACTAACCGCGTTGAGTCGGTCGTACAGAAACGTACCGTTCGCCCAACGGTCCGACGTTTTGCACGAAACGTTCGACGACTGCATTGAATTCGACGACCCGTCCAGCGATCCGATGCTGTGAGCGAACACGTTCACCGCGTCGTACATCAACGCAGGTTCGGCCTGCACACAAGACACCACGATTGGATGCAGATCGTATATTATTTGTAAATAATTGTATTGAAAACGGACAAAAGTACTATTTCCGATTTCAATATTACGACGACTCGACGAGTGGGGTTGTCGTATACCAAATACATGATTGAATTGTTCGCAATAAAAGAATATACAGAGTGGTTTAAAAAGCATACTCGTTATATCTTTAATGATGAATTTAAATACATATGATCATATTATTATTTTCAAATTATTAGGATTTTTTTTTCTACTAAAATAGTGTCTTATGGTGGTACAGTACAAATATTTGTTTTTTGAACGATCACTCCCCCTATATCCAGCTAATTATTCTGAAAATGTTGAACCTAACCTATCGAAATCAAATTCGAAAGAGTAGATTTTGATTATATCATTTTATGTACGGAGGATAATAGGTCCATGATAATGGGTAATTTTTCTTAATTTTTGTTAAAGTACGTTGTGCTCCGTACTGCAATAAGTAAATACAATTTTTGGAAAAAATCACTAAATCTGACAGAGACAACAAAAGTGTTTACTGTTAAAATACTGACTATTAAAATATTGAATAATTAATAACGTAGAATTTGATCTTCTTTGATAATAATAAAGAGAAAACCGTCTGGACAGTTCCCCAGTCGTCGATGATTGAGTAGTAAACGATAATAGTAATTTTATCAATAATCACCCTGATGATTCCACTCTTGTGCAACATGTTCTGCCCGACTCTCTGGAATCTTTCCATCTCGCGCAGGACGTTGACCACGCGGTGGTTTTCGTCGTCCACTATTCTGAAAGACGTTATGTTCACGGAGTTGTATTTAAAGTCTTCCAGATCAAACGTCTCGAGGTCCTGAAATAAAAACAAAAATCCTCAGTCGAATGTGAAGACGACAGCCACGTGGCCGTGTCTGCCAATATTTTTTATTTTATACACTCACGAATGTAGTGAAGAGGAAATGATAGCGGAAATCGTTCATCTGTAGTTGAAGTATCTGTAAAACGAGTAAGGGGACAGAGATTTTAGTATTTCGGTCAGTAAACAGTGTACAATAATATCACACCACACGAGGCGTGCATTATTTTCTTATCCTTCGAATGGATACGCGAACGAGACGATATCGTGGGCATGTTTTTTATATTTTTGGCGTGCACCAATTGTGTCTTCGATAGTGAACGCAATTATTGCAAATATCGCACTCGGTGGTTGCGAGTATTGTATTTTTTTTTACGAGTTTTTGTGTCTAAAATCTAATGGCGAAAACAGTATACCTAAGTCTTATTAATTACAAATATTTTGACTTTAAATAGTTCCCAGATGACTAGTTTCTCGCATATTCGATAACGTGATAACGTATAAATAAAAAGTGTTAATAAATTATTTTAGTTAATCTAATCGTGTGAGCTTCAATTTATAATTCAAAACTTATTTCACGTCTTTTCAATAAATGGTAATTGTTTAGATCCAAAAATAAATATTGTGCCTTTAATTCAACCACAATATTATACTGTTTATTGAACGTCTTAAAAGGGTTCGTACAAATAATAATTTCTTTGTTCAGATTTTCAAAATGTATGTATAAAAGTTAAATGTTTAATATTATTGTACACCTACTACTATAAAATATATTTGTATATTTGTTATTATAATTTGTATTTAAATTTCAGATTATCTATAGCTGTAAATTGTACTTAATTTTTTTCCTTATTATTTGTGTAAACCTATGCTTGTATATAATGTTATTTACAGATCGTGTATCTGTTAAGATTTTCACAACAATAAGCATAATAAATGGTTGTGTGACAAAAACAATATGTATAATGTATATATCTCCGTGCAGACAGAAATCTAAAAATGTGACATCATGCGAATTAATTAAAAATACAATAGTAATAATTTTATGTACCTAATTGGTAAATTTAATTCTGGTTAAAATAATCATTCAACCATGGATATTTTTGGGGTATTTTAAATAAAGTTAGATACTTAGATGTAAATATAATGTTATGCGTGTTATGAACTTTGATTTAAATTATTCCTCGCCAGTGAGATAACGCCAGCCAGATATTCTCAACCGGATACAATTACTGGATAGAGGGGGTAAGACCATTCTATGCTAATTATACCTCTAGTTTACGTATTGTACCCAGAGGTATAATTTCCTTATTTTAATACTGGTAACATATTACAGGTGGTATAATATGTGACTTGCCACGAACTGTACAGTGTACAGCGGTATTTCGGAGAGTGTTAAGCCCCGCAGAATTATTTATTTTTGCATTTTTAATAACTGTAAGTCGTATGGCTTAATTAAAATACAATTGTTAGTGTATAATGTTACTTGTAAAACATTGTAATGCATTCGAGTACCTATTCAATATTGTACCTACTTGTTACATTGGTACACGAATGTATTGTTGCCAATAAAAAAATGTGAACGCGAGACAGATGCACTCAGATGCTCATTTACAATAATATACGAATGGCGTACATTGAACATTCCTAACCTTTCACATAAGGGTAAGGGTATATTATTTAAAACAGCGCTTTCCATTATGCTGCACAAACACGAACCAATATACCGCACAATATGCATAGCTCAATACCTCAAACAAAAAAGGTATATAGCACCGCATGGCGCTCGAATTCATCAAATCCTCTCGTCGTCGATTACCGCACGATATGTAAATTAAATTTTGTAGGATTAATAATAAGAATAGGGATTTTTTTGTTCAAATTATAATAAACAATTTTTGATATTTAACCTTATTTTTTCTTTCAATATTTAATGTTATTAATACGTATTACTTACCCATTTTTAAAAACTATTACAATGAATAGTGTTTTTTTTTCTCAAATTATAGTTATAAATTATAATTATTATAATGATCGGTTTCGTGTTTGTGTTCGCCATTATTATTATTATTTATAATATAATTAAATAACTATTCATAATTTTTACTAACTAATACGGATTTATTCGTCGTTGTCATGATCTTTACTCTTCATTTTTTTTACAACGTATCGTGGTTCTAAAAAATTAAAAATATTACTCAAAACAAATAGAACCGTTTCTACGACTAAATTAGAGAATAATTAAAATATTTTAATTCTATAAAATAAACGTATACCTGTATACGTTCCACATAGGTACACGTTCAACTATTATACTATATATTAGCGGTTTACGATTGTGAACATGTAGGTCAATCATAATTATTCATAAACGTGTAAATAACCGATAGTATCTATCTGGGAGATCATATAATGTAGAAATAAGACAATAATTAGATATAATTTTGAAAAATTCGAGTAAAAAATCCTAAAGAATTTGAAAATAGGTACAGTTTAAGTACAACCTATGTTCAAAAATTCAAAAATTAGATTTTAAATAACTCTATCATTGGAAAAAAAGGTTTGAGCACGCTTGGTGAATCATTCTGTATGTATAGCGATCATCAATTCGATAATTCTTGGTTTCTTCGTGATACCGAATGCCCATAAACAATAATGGCGTATTGTGTGTAAATAAATAGAAAAAAACAATGAAAAATTACAGACAGAACCATAAATCATCATAATATGTATACTTTACGTTATTAGAAAAAATTCACAATTGTCAATTTTATACAATTTCCGATTTCGTGATCATATCAACGATAAATAACACTGCGGACATTCACGACATGTAGACGATTTATCGAAATATGTGTTATTACTATTGTTACGTATAGTAACTTTGTCGGTTTATGTATCATTATTGTTATTGTGGGCTGGATGAGTGATATATTTTATAATAATATAATGTATGATCTTAGTCGGATGTGAGGGAAATCTTCATTAGACCAGGCCACTTTTTCTGGCCAATATAGAAGTTTCGTACTCAAATAGTGTGCGTGTAAGAGAGGAGGGACGTCGATGTTTTTCTTTGGAACTAATTATTTGTGTATATTTGTATAGACTTTTGAATAATATTTGCACTCCATATGATTTTTTATTCATAGTTTTTTATTTAGAAACTAAAAGAAGACGCTTATAATATATGAATGGTTACAATTGCACTCTGGCTCTCCCTCTTGAAAGTCGAATGTAAAATGTATTATATAATATGATACATTATTTGTTGTTGGTAGATCAAAATTGGCAGTACCAAATTAGTCTGTGCCATTATTACTGCACGTTAATTCAATATCAACCAAATGCTATAAAAAGTTGTAATTGTTGTTTTATACCAATATTATATACTCGGTTTTAATTAAGTTCTGATAAAAATTATTTATTCAATAAGATTATGATGTAACATTTCTAAGATAGGCAATTAAAAAATTCTAAAAAATATTTTTTTTTGCCAGAAAATTGAATTTTATTTTGAATTATTTGAACAAGAACGCTTTTTTAGTTATTTTAAGGGGATACACTTATACAACTAAAAAAACTTCGAGGTCATGACTTATTCTCTGATATTATTATTTTCATATAATATTATGCCAAACGTTCGAAGATTTGTTTGTAGAAAAATTAAATTATGCGATAAGTAAAATATAGGTTTTGATGTTGTCAAATCGTGTTTAACCGTTTTAAACCTACATTTGGCTGAATACTATACTAAAGGATACGAACATCGTCTGCATACAATACGTATATGTAAATGATTTATATACAATATACATATGCATAATATATTATGTGTTTACGATTTAGGCAACTTGAGAAAAAGTTTTAACTTTTATCTATTCTTGTAGTTGATATTCTCAAGATGGTCCGACTACGAGCCGTTATGATATTAATAAATCGTTTGCTTTCGTAAAAATACACAGTTTACTCGGACACTACGACTCTGCTTCGTCGGCGCCCCTCTGGTTATGCATGTAAGCTCATAGTTGTAGGCAGTGGCATGGAGAACTTGACATTTTTCAGATACTAGATTAATATTTCACCAACTCTGCAGCACCAATAATAAGATAAAGACATTCACTGTAATATTTGTATTACCTATGTCGTAGTTATTACAAACACAAATATAGTTAATACTAAATATCCCTGTTGGTCATTACCCACCCACTGCCCCTTATAACACTCAGAAGTGGCTGGCTCTCGATTACTTCTCTTGCCACGCCATTGGTTATATAGTTATGTATATAACAATACAATAGTGTAATTACGTTGTACGTTTTTTATTAAATTGCCGTTACACCAGACATAATTTGGTGTGTCGGGAACTCGGGACTAGGGACACAAAGTGAAGCGAATTTCCATAAATGCCAAAGGGCGTTCACGGGAACCATACAAATATCGCTTGAACGTATTATAGTTAACTCATCACAAGCCTAAATAATGGTGTATTTCATTTAAACCGTTCAAGTAATTTGCCAAATTTTCATCCAAAGAAGTCCCAATCCGTTCCAGTCTTCCTGTCTGGACACCTGACGGCCTAAAATAGATTTTTGTACATATTTTAGCTTTTAAACCGAATAGAGAAAATAAAAAGGGAGCTATAATATAATAGGTAAGAGCCTACAATAATTATTATGTTATGTTTTGTTTCCAGTGTTGCAACAACAATGAATAGGTAATCAAAAAAATACTACCTATACCTAGTATGACTTCTTAAAATTGTTTTAATATTTTCCTTATTCCTCACAGAATCTAAAAACTATTTATAAAGGTTCAATCATATATGATTAGAGACGGTTCTTATTCTGAACAAAATTACGTAAGTACATTTTGTGATTTGCCCAATCAGTAATTTTATTTATAAATTATAATTAATATTTTTGAAATATAATTTTTGCAAATATTTATAACTTTAATAGGGAGTTTCAATTTAGTTTCTATTTTAATATGTAGTAATAATATTATTTACTTATTATTTTTGTAACATAAGATTTAATGTTTGGACAGGAGGCATAAAAGAAGTACAAATATTGAAAGTCATTCGAAAAAGTCTTTTTCAGATATAGGAATCTAGGTGCTGTGAGTGGGTAGCCAGTTAGG